AGAAAATCTAGGCAAAACCATTCAGGACATAGGCATAGGCAAGGACTTCATGGCCAAAACAACAAAAGCATTGACAACAAAAGCCAATATAGACAAATGGGACCTAATCAAACTCCACAGCTTCTCCACAGCAAAAGAAACAGTCATAAGAGTGAATCGGCAACCAACAGAATGGGAAAAAATTTTTGCAGTTTACCCATCTGACAAAGGGCTGATATCCAGAATTTACAAAGAACTAAAACAGATTTACAAGAAAAAAGCATACAAGCCCATTCAAAAGTGGGCTAAGGATATGAACAGATGTTTTACAAAAGAAGACATACATCAGTCCAACAAACATATGAAAAAATGCTCATCATCACTGGTCATCAGAGAAATGCAAATCGAAACTATGTTGAGATACTATCTCACACCAGTTAGAATGGCGATCATTAAAAAATCTAGAGACAACAGATGCTGGAGAGGATGTGGAGAAATAGGAACACTTTTATACTGTTGGTGGGAGTGTAAATTAGTTCAATCATTGTGGAAGACAGTGTGGCAATTCCTTAAGGACATAGAAATAGAAATTCCATTTGACCCAGCGATACCATTACTGGGTATATATCCAAAGGATTATAAATCATTCTACTCTAAGGACACGTGCACACGAATGTTCATTGCAGCACTGTTTACAATAGCAAAGACCTGGAACCAACCCAAATGCCCATCGATGATAGACTGGACAGGGAAAATGTGGCATATATACACCATGGAATATTATGCAGCCATCAAAAACGATGAGTTTGTGTCCTTTGTAGGGACATGGATGAACCTGGAAACCATCATTCTCAGCAAACTGACAGAAGAGCAGTAGATCAAACACCGCATGTTCTCACTCATAGGCGGGTGTTGAACAATGAGAACACATGGACACAGGGAGGGGAGCACTACACACTGGGGTCAGTTGGGGGGAAATAGGGTAGGGACTGTGGGGGGTAGGGAGCTGGGGAGAGATAGCAAGGGGAGAGATGCCAGATGTAGGTGATGGGGAGAAAGGCAGAAAATCACACTGCCATGTGTGTACCTATGCAACAATTTTGCATGTTCTTTACATGTACCCCCAAACCTAAAATGCAATAAAATAAATAAATGGGGAAAAAAATACTGCTAAACTTTCTATTAAAAAAAAAGAAGTGAAATATGGTTATATGTTAATTATACTTTGGAGGTAAAGAGAAAAGAAACTCGAGGTCCTAGTGAAGGTAATAGCTTATATATGAGCCCTAACACATTAAAAAATGGAAACAGTAAGCTGCAGGTGATGAGGATGAAGACTGTAAAGAGGAGTCTTTCCCACCATTCCAAACTTAAGAAAATTATAGAGAACTCTGGGCCTAGAGAATAAACACCATCTCTCTTGGTATACAAGTTAATTAGATAGCAATTTGAAAAATTATTTCCTGTATCTAAAAAACTATGAATATTAAACTTCACAGGAAATTATATCCTCAAAATTCATAAAAATGAACACAATTACCAAAGAAAAGGAACCTAGGCTGATTATAGCAGATATGATAGATTGGAGCTCACTGTCTATTATTCTTCCTAATATGAATTCCTGTGCTGTCAATTTTAAAGGACTAAAATCTATATTTTGCAGATTTCCCTGTAGGTAGGGTTCCAGGTATGATTTGGTTTCAGCTTATTAGACACTGTTATATAAGATTTGGAGGACAGATGTTCTTTCTGCCATAAAGATGCCCATGAAAGCATTTTGTCCTTTGGGGCATTGTTCCACTATTCGTGCTTATCAAAAGACTTAGCATAAGGCCTCAGTTTTTGGCTCTAGTCGCTGCTACACAGGTTTGAACTAATATTTGACATGCTAACTTCCTGTTCCTTGATTTGCAGGAAAGGGGATTATCATCAGTCAGCTTATCCTACACAGTGCTTAGCAGCTTAAAACAATGAACATTTATAGTTTCTCAAGGTTATATGGCATGGTTTGGTGGTTCTGATCCCCAGGCTGTTCTGCTAGGGCTGGATGGTCACATATGCAGGTCTATGTCTGATATGGCTGGAATCATTCATTGTAGCTGGGATTGTTCTAAATGTAGGATCTCTATCCTGTGGTTTCTCATTTTTTAAAACACTAGCCCTAGTGGCACACATTTTTCAGTGTCCTATTATCCAAAGTAACATCACATGACATAGTTGGCAAGACAATTTTACAACTCTTCTTATCAAGAGTCTGTTTCACTGACTCTTGAATCTGGGCTGGCCATGTTATAATAGTTATTTTGACAAATAGAATATGGCAAAAAATAACATGCAACTTGAGATCCTAACTATTAAAAAATCTTGGAATCTCAGCAATTACTCTTTTGCTGTGAAGAAAGTTATGAAATTTTGCTCTTATGAATGGACTATTTATCATACTGATGTAAATATTTATTTGGAACACATATTAATTCTAAGACTGTTTGACTTTCTCAGGTTCTATGGATATAAATTCATATTATCATCATTTCTGAAATTTGTTTCAAGATTATTATCTTAGGTTAAACAGAGGACAGAGAACTGTAGACCCTAAGGAGAGGAAGAACTATGAATCAGCATTTTAGCATGCACATCCAGTTTTAGAACTGTGAAACCACCAGGTAGGTTTAATGATTTTGCTTAAATCTGTAATATTAAATTTCTAGGCAAATTGTACTATGAGAAATTAATCACTTGTAAATCTTACCAATTCCTTCCTTTTAAGTAATGAGTATTCCTAATAATTTTACAATTATGATTATAAATTGAACTTAGCCAATGATACCAGTTTGATCCTCATATTTTATAAAAGTTACATTATATTTTTCCCCTAAAGTTAAAAAATATGTACCAATTCTATACAGGGACCTGGCATTGTTTATAATGCAGTTTGACTATACAATAATCCATTACAACTACTGAATGACAACTACAATTTTCCAAGTAGTATTATTAATATTAAGAATAGTGGGTCAACTTCATATTTGTAAAGTACTAAAAATAACCACATGAATTTGGATCTGATACACAGAGTACAAAACATTTTCTTTAAAATATCTCATTATCTTGATCATTAGCCTACTATAATTCCATGAATTTTATTTCAAGATCATTTAGCATTTCTTTTTTTTTTTTTTTTTTTTTTTTTTTTAGGGTAAATCCTCCAACTACATTTATAAAGTTCAACATAAGTTCTAGTTCTGACATCAATAAGATTTCAATAATTGCTCTAAGAAGAAATAAATATAATGATAAAATTGAGAATATAAGATAGGATTTCAATTTGCTACTTCTTGTATAGTAAATTAAGAATAATTCTTTTTCAAAATATCTTCATAGACTTTACAATGAACATTTTAAAAATCATGTTATTCTCTGGGACCTATGACTAACTTCCATGTCAACAGAACAGAAAAGGGCATTTCTTCTGAGGAAAATATGACAATTACAGGTATCCATCAAAAAGTGTAATGATAGGGACAGGTAGATTGAGAAAAGACCCATTTGTTCAACTCTCTTATAAATGGGAATAGTCACATGAATAGACAACTTTAAAGGTGGAAGAGAACATAGAGATATAGGTCAAGAGTCAAATCTCAAATTCCTTCTGTGGTCACATACCTAGCATAAACATATGAGTGACTGCCATAAACTAATTCTGAGTAGCAGAGACAGAAGGAACTGGTGACACCATGCCCTGACTAAAAGCATTTAAATTTAAAACATGCCTTAAACAGTGAACTGATACATCAAAGTGTTTCTTCAGGTAGACTCAGGTCTTCAGGTTTGTGATTCGAGATCTTGTCTATGAAGCATTTATTAATGAGCATGAGACTCAAAGAAAGGAAGTGTCTCACCTAAGGTTGGAGATAAATAAATCCCATTAATATATTCTAACTGGAATGCACACCTAAATAGTTAAATGTCACTATATAAAACCAAAGAGTACGTTTATTTATCATTTGATGTTAGACAAACTTTTTATAAATTGATGTAACTAGTGTATTTAACATAATAATACAAGAGCTCTTTACATGAATACAAAGATATTAACATAATCCAAATCAAAAATATATTGAAAATATTTTATTTCCCTAATTAGTACATTCAGAATAAAGTATTTATGGAGTTATTATTTTGAAGAATTTAAAGGACATCCAAACAAAAATTATATTTAATATTAGAAAAATTAAGCCCCAATTAATGATGATGATGTTCATGATAGTTTAACATTATTATGTAACTATCATAGTATATGGTACTTGGCTAAAGTTTGCACAAGTTGATCAGCTCCATTAAACTCCAACAGAGCTCTGGGCAATAGCTACTATTGTTGTTGTTGTTTTCCTCGAGAGATATTCAAGTTACACCAAAATACCTAAGTTCTGACAATGTTAATTTAGATAACATTATTTTGGACTCCAATTAAATACTTCAGAGAACTAGCATGTTCTTGTCTTTTCTTCCAACCCTTAAAACCAAGTGGGCACAACAAAACAAATATAAAGAGAAAGAAAAACTATCAATTTACAGCAAAGAAATAAAAATACCATGACCCCAAAACACAAACTACAGATAATCTACAAAATACTATGAAATGTGAAGGGATAATAAAGAGTGGTCCTTCTCCCTTTACCCTCCAAGAACAGTAGCATTCCCTAAAGTATCTTGGCCAGAAAAAAAAGGATAAACGTGAAGTCTGGTGAAGGTGGCAAGGGAGAGAAATGGTGACTTAAAGAATCTATCCAATTACATACAAGGTACATGAACACCAAAAACAGAGAGATGTGCTCCCACCCAAAGATTGAGTACGAATGTATCTAAGACTAAATTCTGATGGAAGCTGCTGCAGTGCACTCACTGTCAGCCACACTCTCCTTGTGCTCACTTTCTTCCAAAAACCTCCCCTTGCTCATCCTCCCTTATGCAATGTTTCAGACAAATATTTGGAGGCAGTCAAGTACAGTGGTGGAGGGTACATGCTCTGGAGATAGCCTGGGTTCAAATAATCATTCTACCACTGCAAATCCCTGGCACACTTAACTCTCTCCACACAACTTTCCCATACGGGCCAGAAGAGCATAGAAATAGTCGGATTCAGAGATACTTGTCTTTGTCAGTTTGGGCAGCTATAACAAAGCCCAATAGCCTTGGTGGCTGATGAGAAACAGAAATGTATTTCTCATAGTTCTGGCAGCCAGAGGTCTGAGATCAGGGTGTCAGCATAGTCAGGTTCTGGTGAGGACTTCTTCCATGTTCCTGGCCACTGACTTCTTTTTTACTCACATGACAGGAAGAGAACTTGCTAGCTCTTTGACCTACTCTTATAAGGGCACTAATCTCATTCCATGAAAGTTCCATTCTCATGAACTAATTGTGACCCAAAGTCGCCAGCTCCAAATATTATCACATTAGAATTAGGATTTCAACATATGAATTTGAAGGACAAAAACATTCAATCTATAACAATATTTTACCCTAAATACATTATCAAACATATCTCAAACATTTTCATACTACTAAAAAAACAGTTTCTGAGGATGATGGTATATCAATTTTAAGTAAGGATGTTACTGTAAAAATATACTTAAAATTATTTATTATATTCTACAAATATAGGATACTATGAGAAATAAAAGTAAATTAAGACAAAGGAGAACACATCATTTTAAAAAGAACAAATATCATTCTGCATGTTTGACTCCATTTTAAAAGAATCCTTTTGTCCTATGAATGAAATTTCTGTATTCAAATTTTGCTGACGGTGACTTTCCTATTTACTCTGATACTTTTAGTGAAAATTAAATTGCACAAAAATACCACACTGCAGATGTTTTAGTTGGGCTACTTGTAACTTACAGATAATGTAACTCTAAAGATCACAGTGTGTAGTATGCTAAAATACTTTAATCATATTTGACTTCCACATATTTAATAACAAAGTTTCTAGATGAAGAAGAAAGAGTGGAACACCAAATTCTCTCTTCGACTTTTTATATTTAAGTCATGATGAAATTAAGGCAATTCGTCCATTGTTAGTTGTAGAATATCTGCCACTTTAAAATTATTTCTATTCAAAGCTTCAGAAAAATTTCTATTCATGGCTTCTAAGAAATGAAGGCAGAACTTCAAGCAGGCAATTCTTTAAAGGCAAAATGTTTCTTTTATATTAACCCTGAAGTTCTACAATGGATTGCCTTCTATGGGCAAAACACACATGGATACTAATGGCAGATCTAAGCAAGTATACACAATTTAAAAAGGTACAAAATTGGTTGCATAAACTCAAATGGATATTCTTACCCTATTAATCTCATTTAAAAATTCCAAAAATAATTAATAAAAATAAATATTTTTCAAGTGCTAGACTATAATTTTGTATTACACATGATTTATTATGCACATTTGGTAAATCAAGCATTTTTTAATCTAAAAGAAAACTTGATTCAAAAATCAGGAAGTACTTTCAACAACTTTTCAAAATGTATCTGATGGAGAAGAGTTGTAAAAATTATATAATGAACACAAACTATAATTTATTATTTACAAATGTAATAAAAATTCTTACTCAAAATCTAGTCTTCTTTGTATTCATTTATGAAATTTTAGGAAAATTAATTGAAATAATAGAGGTAAGTAAAAAGTTGTTTAAATATTTTCTTATGTATTTCAATTTAGCTTTCCATGTAACATTGTTGAAAGCTGTTGTAATGGGTTTACTAGAAAGTTATTGTCTATTTAACCAACAAGTTCATATATCTTATATGATATTTATAATTTTTATCTTATATATTTATATTTATCTTGTATGATATTTATATTGTAATATATATTATATAAGAAACATATATTATGATATAAATGATAGCAATTCTGGAAAACTTGGGAGTTAATTTTTTGTCTCTCCATTTTCCCTCATAAATAAGTAGTTCTAAAATAGTAGTTTTGCAGTTAATTTATTAAATAGAGTCAGTAAAGAAAGGCCCCAAGCATTATTTTCATTATTCTCTTCGGATAACATTAATATATATGCATATTGATTTTTTAAAAGCTGCAAATAATATTTTTATGGACGATACATTGTGTTCTAAAGTTTCTATAGCAAATGAATTTTATATTCTAGTATTGTTTTGAGATATACTCATTTACCACTTATCTGTACAGACACTAGAATACATTTCTTACTTAAGCCTGAGAATTCTGATTTTTCCTTTCATTATTTGACTACTCTGGAATAATCCCAAACATCTCTCCCTATCCTGGGAACTTCACTTAAATTCTCTCTTTATCTTAGATTATTTTCATTATTGATAATATAAAATAAATTTACCTCTGAAAATTAACTTAGATTTCCCTCTCCAATTGTTTTATATTTTCCCCAAAATTAGTAAGTACTAAAATTGCATAAAAGCTACTATTCTATGTTGCTTAGATTTGTTAATTTGTTATGTGGTAAATCCATCGCCATTAAGTGACAGGGCTATAATATGAAATTCTATTTGTTTTTTCACAAAACACTGCCAATTTAATTATCTGCCAAAACCTCAGACTTATCATTTCTGCACCATACTTGACTCAACTTGAACCCGCTCCCCTTTGCAAATTCCTGACTTGTGCCAATATCACAATTATCAAAAGTGAAGCCTTTTATTTCCTTCTGGTATTTCACTTAAAAAATTTGTGACACATTGCCACTTTAAATGTTTCAAACTGATCACACTTCTTTTCATCATTGTTTTTCAGTTACTTCTGTTGTAATCAATTTATTTTCGGATTACTGCAGAAGCCTCATCATGGTACCATTAAGGCATCTGGTTCCCTATTCCCCTTCCCAGATAGCCTAAATTTGCAAGCTTAAACTTCACTCAACCTCTACCTCCTTCATAACAACTATTTCCCTGTCTCCCTCCACACTCAACACAAATTTCTTCTGAAGTTCCCCCACTACCATTACATTAATATCCAAAGCACCTGGCTTTTATTTAGGTTAAAGCTATTTCCTTCACTCAAATTACATTCCTGCCAATCATTGAAAGTCCAATCTAAATCCTAATGGCCATAGGTTATAATGATTTTTTTTTTTTGCCCCCTATAATGTATGTTTCTTCCCAATAACAGCAAAAATCTTAAATACTCTTATCATTTTTGGTACGTATTAAGTATATTCCCTATTGATATTCCATGGCTTTGACTTGATGGCTAATAATATAATATATAAATAAATCCTCTTTGCTATTACTACCTCATGTAATACCATACCTAGAGGCACTTCTTGAAAAATTAAGGTACAAAATACATTTTTGTATATAAAATCATTGAACTTATAGTATACTACTTCATTCTGGGATGCTCTATATATGTTAATAATTATATATTTATAAACAAATACATGCAAATATGTAATTTTTGCAAAATGATTTTAGACTAAGAAGAAAGAAAATACTAACAATCATCATTTTCTGATAGTCATTTATCCAGCTTATTTCATATAAATTGTGTACACGCTTGCCATACACAACTATGGTAACGTAGCATGAGTAAAATTAACTTGTTGCTGAAAAGAAGAAAATTTTGGCAAAACTCAATCCTATTTGTTGGTAAGATCTTAAAAATCAGATTACTGTGTAAAAGTAATGATAAAACAACATCCCTTGCTATGTAACTTAACCATTTATCTAGAGATGAGACATTTTAAAAGAAGTCCATCACAGTTTGCTTTACAAGAGTTTCAATCTTATCTTTATTTTGATTCTATTAAGCCTACAATATATGTAGAAATTTGGATGTATGGAAGTAAAATTTTAAAAGGATGGAATATCAATTTGAGTGACTGAATGATTTGTATCTTGAAAGGACAATTCACATCATCAACTTCTGGTATTTCCTGAACAAGGTAACTGTGTGAATAATGATTATTTATTTTTACAATTAAATTAAAAAAGTAACTCTTTCCCTGTGATCTGAGAATGCAGGCTCATTTAATACTTTCAATTGAAAGTATCCCAAAGTATTGACATACTAAATGAAAACAAAGAAACTGATACTTAAAAAAGAATCACTAAAAAAGATAAAAACTTGTAGTTTTAAAATACACAGTAAATACTTCATATAAAATACATTATAAAATGTATAATCTAACAAATGTATTAAACATCTGACAAGGTGTGAGCCTAGTCTTTTTCAACTAGTCAATTCAAAATTAATTTCGGCTGAATATGACATTGGCTATTACTATAATATTGTTTATTGTCTAAAATGTGTTTATATGAATTTCAAGGACATTATATCATAAATATCTGTATCAGCTGTCAAGAACTAGCTTTCTTTGTTGCATTTATATTAAATTGAAATACGGTTTTAATCAGTGTTATTCATATTATGCATATAAATTTCAACTATTCTACAGTTAAGGATTCTCATTTTTTTTTTCAAGGAAAATTACTATGGCAAAAGAAAGCAAGAATTAGTAGTTAATCCTTCCTAGCGTTTGTGTGTGCATGGAGGATCAGTGTAAAAGATGGTTACTGCTGTGTTAAGTTTTATTACTCCAGCTGTTAACTAGATGTTCAAAACAAGTAAATTGCCCTGGAATGGTTTTCTAAATTCTTCTTCTTAATCCGTTAAATTATGCAAATGCTAGAGTATTTTTAATTATGTACCTAAAGTCCTTTCACATAATTAGCATGATATAAGAATTTTTGAATAATTTAAATACAACTTTTAAAAAGATGAAGTATAAAAATAATTTATATTCGAGATGAAAGGATATGTCTGTGTTGTAATATAAATGTAATAGTTACAAATTACATAAAAATTAACAAAAGTCATTATAAAAATATTTATGGGGAAATATGTTTTCTTAGCTTATATAAATATGAAAGAAATTCAAGAAAACAAAATAAATAAGGAGAAAATGGAAACTTTAAATCATCCTATGTACTTTTCAGATAATTAATTTTATTGTATTTTCTCCTGTGGGTAACCCCCTATATAGGCACCAAGGAAGGAGAATTAAGCAGAATCCTGGCACAATTAGTGCCTGAAGAATATCTCAGTTTATAGTGTTACTACTCAGTTATTTCCCTTTATATAATCCCTTATATATAATCATATATTAGTTCATAGAATGAGTACCTAAAGAATATCTTACTACTAAGTAATTTCCATATATATATATATATCTTTGTTCATAATTGGAGGAATGCCTAGAGCAGACACAGTACAGAGCATGAATTAAGGAATAAGCAGCTTATAGTCGGAGGAATGTCTAGAGCAGACACGGTGCAGAGCGTGATTTAAGGGAAAAACAGTTACAGTTATACCAGGACAAGAATCCACCGCCCAGGCGGCAGCATTCAGTATCGTAAAGATACCCACTGTATGGCAGGCTTGGGGCAAGAGCCACTCCTCCTGATAAAGGAGTTGTAGGACCTTGCGTCCAGTTCTTGTGGAAGGCTGCCCTCAGACTGGCAATCCCTCGAGCATCTGAGAGCTCAAAACCCCTCCGGGTAATTGTACCTTGATGACTGTGAACTTTATCAGTTCTTGTTACAGTGCTAGCTCAAAAGCATCCTCCTATATAAGTCATTGGAACCTGCCAGCAGGTGGCAGTAGACCCTGACAGCTCTATTACTGCTGTATGACTTAAGCATCCTCCTACAGATATTCTTAGGAATAGCATGCCCATAGATGAGATATGGTACACTGCACCCTCTTCACTGTGCACGGCCCACCTCCATGCCTCGGTGACCTAATGGGGGTGGACCCCTTACTGCACATGGCCCATCTCCTTACCTCAATGACCTAATAGGAGTGGACCCCTTGCTACGCACTGTCCACCTCCTAGCCTAGGTGACCTAATGGGGATGGACTCCTCGTTTTACTGCTCATGACCCTATCACTATCATTAAAGATGAATTCACTCATTACCTTGCCCCCTAAATTATACGCAATAAATACAGATGATTCTGGGTATTCACGGCCTCTTCTATCTCCGCTTATAGGTGGCGTAGCCGTCCCCGCCCCAAGCCCAACTGCGCTTTCTTTGTACTTCCGTGTCCTGTCTATTTATTTCTCAGATCCTTTGCCTCAGCACAGCATAAGGGACACCCCACGACCCTGTGGGGCACTTAGCCCTACATTCTCCTTTTTTTTTTTTTTTTTTTTTTTTTTTTTACTGACAATGACCTACATAAGTTCTCTGAATTCCCTTTTTTACAATAAATGAAGTAGCTGTTCTTTTTATCAAGAAAATTAATTTTGTTTTGATTACTTCCTCTGAGAAAAGTAATCAAACTGTCACACCCTAAAACATTGAATCACTTATCATTGAAAAAAACTCTGCATCAGCTTGATTTTCAGTAGTTAAGTGTTACCAAATATAAGAAAATTCTACAAAAACATTATTTTATTAGAATGGATCAGGATTTATTCTTTTTTCTAATAGGATGATATTTATTTTTGGTTCTCATGGAAATAAAAGTTGAGAGCTACAGAAAAACTTATAAAAATTATTTTAAGGACAAAAATTAAATAAAATGTTCCCTAAGTCAAGGAATGAACTTTTCACTTCTCTTTCTTTTATAGGTATCCTGTATATTCTGGTACTAGAGATGGTTGATCTAACTATAAATTATTTTTGTCTAATTAGTAGAAATGACATCTTACCAACTTAAATCATTAGCTTATATAAGAAAAGAACATTGTAATTCTAGTTTTATTTTGATCTTCTATAATCATAATTACAGAAAAGATTAAGCACCTCGTTGTATTAATGTGGTGCTAAGTAAAGTTCAAGGTAATTAAACTGCAAAGCCTATAACATCTATGCCCCTGTAACCTAAGACATTCAAATTTTTCTAAAACAAAACATCAAAAATAGACTAAACTTATATCTAAACAAATATGTATATTAATTTAAAATGTAGCAATTCAAAAACTTGACATAAGTGAGTAAAAAGTAATCTTTGCATGTCTCAGAGCAGGTCAAAATCAACACTCCACTTTTATCACTTGGAGGTTTTCTGGGAGAGATGAGATTGCAGAATTTTTTAAGCAATAGACTTTGTTAAAGAAGAAAGCCCTTTTATTAGTGAGGATACGTGCAGGATATAGCTTGGAAAACACTAAGAGTTGGAAGAAGCATTATCAGACAGAGGCCAATAAGCATATCTGGAGATGTACTTTGCAGGCTTTAAAATAGATTTTCTTTCTATTTGAAACCATCCTATAGTTACAAAAGATAGGATAAACTAAGTTGCTTTGAGTTTTTAAATAATATTGGGTTATATGTATCTTTACAGAGTGCTGGTATAGTGTAAGTGTTCAGAGAATGAACTTGAATTCAGCTCTGCCCCTTCTCAATGTGATACAATGCAAGTCACTTAACTTTTCTGTGTCCCAGTCTTTTCATCCAGAAAACAAAAGTAGTAATAATAACTACCTCATTGTGCTCTTAGGAAGATTGAAAAAGGTAATACTTAAAATTTTACCTGACACACGAGAATAATTCATTAGTATTGTGATTATGAAATACAGAAAGAAAGAAATACAAAGTATGGGCTTAGTAGTCTGTTGTTTGTTCCATGTGAATTCTCAAAATATCTACTACAGATGGTAACTTTCCATTAATGGATTACTAAAGCAGCCATTTCCCACAGATGCCAGGTTAACAGAAAAGTTTATACATTTGGAGTTAAGTTGTGCAATGCCAATTGTAGCAAGCTATAATTAACCAAAAGAAATATATTAGGCTGATATTACCTGAATTAAGCAAAGATCTATAAAAATTTGCATATAGTTTCACCTATTAATTTTGCTACACTTGTTCAAAGGTACAAAACTGAGTGTTTTTAAAAAGCGTTTCCAAAGTCTTAGTTTGACAAAACTCTTTACAAGTTGAGTAAGTATTTTAAGTAACAGGAAAATGTTTAGTTTATCTACTAAATTTGCTAACTAATCTCATCAGAACAAAACCATGGTTAGCTGCTTGATCACATTCATCCTCTGAAATATTCCCACCTATCACCTGCAGAGGAGGACAGATACCAATCTGTAGTTTTTTCAAGACTGATACAAAAACACAGCATAAAAGTTTGAAGCTCTATTAACATGTTTTCATACTTTCACCTGTTTCAAATTTTTTACTGATGTAAAATTTACCTAATTCGCTTTCCTTAAAGATTAATACATTTCAGTCTTAATTACATGATATGGCACTGAGACCTACACTTATTTACATATATCCTTTGCACCCTACAACAAAAAAAACAAATAGTTCTGTAAAACTACAATTTTTCCCAGATCGTTTTTTTAGCACTTGGGGCTATTTTTTTTTATATAAACCTTCATTTGTACTCTTTTTCTTTTAATGCTAACTCTTGACTTCCCAGGAAACAAAAAGACAGAAAGGTTGCGTTTATTTTCAGGCTGCTTGTCTGATTGATGTAAGAGTGGAAGCCTGTTATAAAGTAACTCATTATATTCTGATCTTCATCTACAGATGAGTAAAACTGGAGCTGAATAAAATTGATGTCATTATACTTCATTTTCTGTGAACAGCCTAAAATTTAACGTTTTAGATTACTTTAAAAACCTGAATTAAGAGAACATCCCACCTCTGCATTATTTATGCATTAATCCTAATTATTTTTCATACAGATGACATTAAGAAATGGCATAGATATGATTTCTATTTTGAAGATGCAGAAAATATGGTTCATAACTATGAGGCAAACTGCCAAAGGTCACAAAGCTAGTGGAAGTCAGGGGTGGGAATGGAACTCTGAAATGTGTGAGTATCAGGCTGAAATTCATTGCTTCCATTGATGTAGAAAGTAAAAAGAAAAACCAAAGAAATAAATCCTAACAGAATATCAGAGTCTTACTTTAAAATGTCAAAACTGGCAAATCTATCCAACAATTTGTGATATTTATCATCAAAGGACAGGATCATTATTTCACATACATACATGCCAATGAACTACACTAATAAATGTGAACAAATTTACAGGTTTATGTTGGCAATAATAAATAATAACTATAACAAAATTTTTGCATGCGGCTTTTCATTTTTCTAAATAGCTTTCTTGTATATTATACATTCCATATAATCCTGTGTGCTACAGACAATAATTTGATCTTTATGACTGAGCAAACTGAAGCTCTCTCTAAGAGATTATGTGACTTGCCTGAATTTGCTCACACAGTAATTGCAAAATATCATACAGAAGGCAGTCTTCTCTAATCCAAGTGCTCTTCCAAATACAAAGGACTACAGAGAATTAAAAATTTAACATCACATTTCTAATTCTCTTGTTTGTAATATCTAAAAGTTTCATAAAATTGAAAGTAAAACAGTATGATCTTTTGAAAAACAGAATATGGATTTATATTTTCTTGCTATTTTCCTACATTAAGCCTAAGAATAAATGTTAAAAAGGAGGCAGCAAGCGAGATATTTTTCAATTGACTCTGCTCAGGAGGAAAAAGGCATTCAATGCAGGCCAAGCCTTAAGTTATAGTTTCATTCTTTTTGTCATGCATACCAATCCTTAGGAAGAAATCAGAATAGAGATTGTTAACTTGATTTAACCAATTAAAGTAAATATATTTAAACTTCAATATGATTGAGAAAGGACTAGTCCAAATGGACATCCATATTTACAGAAAAATACTAAGAGGAAGCAGTTACTTAGGTGGCCAAAATATATTTGCCTTTTCTTGGTTAGTCTATCCTGGTCTTCAGGAAACCGTCATTTGGGGCAATCACCCTTTTTCAAACAATCTCGAGATAAAACTGACTAGTCCATTTTAAAAGGAAAAAGTGATGATACTGTAAATAGTGGTTGATATTTGAAATGAGGACTAAAGGAGAATAGACATGTCTTAACTCAGACATCTTTTCTCACATGCATGAGTATTCAGAGGAAATAAAGAATTAAAGATGCAATACATTTCTGAGGACTTAACAATCCAGGAGGCATTTTAATTTCTCAGAGGTCAATTAAAGAAATTGATCACTTTTTATTATGAATCAAATTTTATTTGTTGTAATAAAGAATTCTAATTGCAGTAAAGGGTTTCAGGATTACCCAATTAATGGAATTTAACATTTATTGAGTCTTTAATACACAGTCCAAGCATTATGCTAAATATTTTACAGGCATTACCCCATTCAACCTTCCAATTCTCTCATTAAAATCATCACCACTTCACAGAAATACAGAAACAAAAGCAAAAAACAAAACAAACTAAATCCTGATGTTTAGGTAAGTGTGTAAAAGTCTCAAGGCTGAAAAGTTGGAAATTGGGATTTGAAACCAGGGAGACTGATTCTTAACCACTATGACATGTTGTCTCTTGCAACAATTTTTGTTTTACTTTAAAATTACCTTCCTACGTTCTGGAACTGAATTTATAGCTGTGGGAGTGTAGAATCTAGCATGTAACAAACTGCCAAAGAAACAATCAAGGATTAAAGTGAATATGAGACTGTTAATTTATTAGTACATAATATATGTGACTTCCTCAGAAATGTAAAAGTAAATTGTTCCCTTTTGAAATGAACACGTTTTCAATTTTAGAAACCTACTTGACAAACGATTTACTTTTAAATCCTAAGTCAAACTTTAATTTCTGACATACAAAAAGATCCACAGAATACTGCTCTGAATGTATTGATTAAAAAGACATCGTGTGAATTTTCAAAAAAATCAAATTAAAATATAAAGCTTCCTTGGCAAAAGGTATTTTTATTCTTTGTTATTCCTATGATCTTCTCATAAATCACTCTGGTTAAAAGTATATTTAGTAAATATTTCATTAGTAAATTCAGTTTAACAGGGAATATATTCTCAAACTATTGAAAAATGTTTATCTTTTCAAATTATATATGCATAAAATAGTTGTGATTATTTAATGTTATATATTCACATATAAGTGTATATGCGGATGTGTGTGTGACAGATCAGATATACAAATGTGGGAACTAAACTGGCAATTCACTCCATTCGTGGATTTTTGTCACAAAATATACGAAGAAAAAATACCAGAAAAATGTTTATTTTTTCATTTTGTTTTAATTTTTTTGTTGTTCAATGGCCTACGTGTACTCCTCGTTGACTGCTGAAGTCTCTCTTATAAGTAATGAGCATATCATCATCCAAACTTCTTGAGAATAGGAAAGCCAGGAAATTAAATGGAAAGCACAGCCCCGTAGAACAAAGCTTGCCAGCATACCACTAACAATGGGAAGAATTATTTCCTCCCCACTAACTCATGGAGTCATATTTAAAGTTTAAACAGCCTACTTTTCCTCTCCCGCCTCTCAGGGGAGATAAGAATACTTCTCTATCCAGCCTATCGTCGATGGGCATTTGGGTTGGTTCCAGGTCTTTGCTATTGTAAACAGTGCTGCAATGAACATTCTTGTGCACGTGTCCTTATAGTAGAATGATTTGTAATCCTTTGGATATATACCCAGTAATGGGATTGCTGGGTCAAATGGAATTTCTATTCCTAGGTCCTTGAGGAATCGCCACACTGTCTTCCACAATGGTTGAACTAATTTACACTCCCACCAACAGTGCAAAAGTGTTCCTATTTCTCCACATCCTCTCCAGCATCTGTTGTCTCCAGAGGGGGTGGGGAGCTGGGGAAAGATAGCAAGGGGAGAAATGCCAGATGTAGGTGATGGGGTGGAAGGCAGCAAATCACACTGCCACGTGTGTACCTATGAAACAATTTTGCATGTTCTTCACATGTACCCCAAAACCTAAAATTCAATAAAATAAATAAATGGAAAAAAAAGAATACTTCTCAATGAGACAAAAGCCCACCTACTCAAAGGGGAGATTAATTATTGCTACACAATTAACCTCACAAGAAAATTGTTAAGATTAATGAAGCAGTGCTTGCGAAGTGATTACAAATTCCTCATGACCTATTATGGAAATACTTGTTTACCAAACACCTACATGTATATTAATAACAGATTCTGTGCAAATTATTACAATGTCTAATCTACAGATCAACATTTTTGAATTATAGCCTAAGTATCAAAAAAAAAAAAAAAGAAGTAAAGGAACAAAGGAGGAAGAGAGGGAGGGAGGGGCTGTGAGAGAAACAGGAGAGAAAAGATGAAAGAATACAAGAGAAGAGGAGGAAGGAAGATAGGTAGGAAGGAAAGACAAAAAGGGAAAAAAGGACAAAAGAGAGTAGGACAAGTTCTTACCTTTCAGCAAAACCACCATGCTAGAATAAATGTTTTTCACTTATTTCTGTAACAATCATGGTAAAGCAAAGGACCACAGAAACTTCTCTCTAATCTAGTTTTAAAATAAAGAAAATCTCAAGTATCTTTAAATAAATGTTGAAAGGATGGTCTCCTATAAAAATATAGAATTACTGCACTTATTTTTCGTATTTATTAATTTTAACTGGGCTAAAACAAGATTGTTTTGATAAATAATACCTACAGTGGGTTCCAGAGTGCTTTGTTAGCAATATCTGCAGCTACCTCAGAGTACAAGGTAAATAAGTGCATAAATTCTTCCCCCCAAAAAATCATTTATTGACATGGCTGTCACCTAATTACATCTGGATTACAGAACACATCACCAATGTAACAAATCTACTTTTAGCACACCACTCCCCAATCCACCTCAACTGGACATTATATATATGTCATAATAGGATAGCATATATAAGGCCAATAAACATATGAAAAAATGCTCATCATCACTGGTCATTAGAGAAATGCAAATCAAAACCACATTGAGATACCATCTCATGCCAGTTAGAATAGCGATCACTAAAAATCTGGAGACAACAGATGCTGGAGAGGATATAGAGATATAGGAACACTTTTACACTGCTCGTGGGAGTGTAAATTAGTTCAACAATTGTGGAAGACAGTGTGGTGATTCCTCAAGGATATAGAAACAGAAATTCCATTTAACCCAGCAATTCCATTACTGGGTATATACTCAAAGGATTATAAATCATTCTATTATAAAGACACATGCATATGTATGTTAATTGCGGCACTGTTTACAATAGCAAAGACCTGGAACCAATTCAAATGCCCATCAATGATAGACTGGACAAGGAAACTGTGGCATATATATACCATGAAATACTACTCAGCCATAAAAAAAAGATGAGTTTGTGTCCTTTGTAGGGACATGGATGAATCTGGAAACCATTATTCTCAGCAAACTGACACAAGAGCAGAAAATCAAACACTGCATGTTCTCACTCATAGGCAGGTGTTGAACAATGAAGACACATGGACACAGGGAAGGGAGCATCACACACTGGGGTCTGTTGGCGGGGGACTAGGGGAGGGACAGCAGGGGCTAAGGAGGTTGGGGAGGGATAACATGGGTAGAAATGCCAGATATAAGTGATGGGGGGATGGAGGCAGCAAACCACATTGCCATGTATGTACCTATGCAAGACGCCTACATGATCTGCACATGTACCCCAGAACCTAAAGTACAATAAAAAATATATTTTAAAAAATAGGGTAGCTTAGGCTGTAGTTTCAACATCAATGCCCAACTTCTCAGCAACTCAAAACAGGAAAAGTTATTCTTTGCTAATGCCTCACAGCCATCAGAGAATCAAAGGCTTAGAGTGGAGGACCTTCTCATTTTAGTCACTCTAGAACTCAGCTGAGAGAGGAGCCCCTTCTCTTTAGGTACAGGTATCCATGCTAGAAACAAAGAGACTTGCATGGTCTTACTCCAGCAATAAAATGATTCAATCAGAAGTGAGAAATGTCACTTTGCTCACAACTCATTAGCCAGAGCCAATCATATAACCCCATACAATCATTAGTGGGCCAGTAACACAATTCCTACATAAACCCAGAACGGTAGAAGTCTGGAACAATTTGGTGAAAAGCATTCATGACACCTCAATTATCTACTGATACCTAAGTATTGTCAATGATAATAAGCTTTTTGTTGTTATTTTATTTTATTTTATTTTTATTTTTATTTTCTTGAGACGGAGTTTCACTCGTTACCCAGGCTGGAGTGCAATGGCGCGATCTCGGCTCACCGCAACCTCTGCCTCCTGGGTTCAGGCAATTCTCCTGCCTCAGCCTCCTGAGTAGCTGGGATTACAGGCACCCGCCACCATGCCCAGCTAATTTTTTTTGTATTTTTAGTAGAGACAGGGTTTCACCATGTTGACCAAGACGGCCTTGGTCTCTTGACCTCATGATCCATCCGCCTCGGCCTCACAAAGTGTTGGGATTATAGGCGTGAGCCACCGAGCCCGGCCTGTTGTTATTTTATTAAGATATCTTCAGTTAAAGATGTTCATTATGTGTGAACAACCACAGAAATTAAACATAATTATTACTGCTCTAATAACTTCAGCTTATTCCCAGAAACTTGAATTTTCAACTGAAATATGTGAGGACTCAATAAAGGAGAGGCAGAATGAATACAATCCAAATGTATTACATTTTTAAAGATTTAAAATTAAGGCATATGAACATTTATCAATTGTACTGAAAAATTTTAAAGGATTCTAAATAAATATTTGTATTTATCTGAGTAAATTAGTATGTGAGAAAAAGATATGATTGGAGTAAGCTAATTTTCAGGAGGGTGTTTGTTTGGGAGCCCAGGGTAGAAGAGGTCTGGAGTTCAGATGGCCAGAGAGAAAGATGGAAAATTGTGGTGCCTTCCCTGATGTCCAACACGCAGCCTCAGGACAAACAGGCTCCAGGCAGATTCTGAAGAAAGTGTTTATATTACAGGCACAAGAGGTAGGACATGAGCAGATCTCATATTTCACAAGTGTGACACAGAGTGGAAAGGGGGAGTCTCTCTTCTGGCTTAAACACAGCTTGGCTTCATGACACTAAGGTCTGTGCTAAGCAAAGGCAGAGGCACTGGGTCTGGCAGGAGATTGCAAATGCCTACCAGACAGGGTGAGGCATGGTGGAGAAGTGGCACCGAATGCTTATGGGACACTACCCAGCAGGCATTGAAGATACCTGAGAAACACAAGAGAAAGCTGAAGACTTACATAAGGAGTGGGAGTTAGGCAAACTTGATTATTGGGTTGTGTGAGGAAGAGCAGAGTATAGAAAAAAAAATAATAAGCACAGATAGATAAGCAGGCCATGGGATCCTAGACAAATTATGAATTTTGTTCTAAGCAAAACACAGTAAGAACAAACTGACAGCCCTTACACATACTTGTTAATCTTAAAACTGAAAATACTAGTTTTAAATAGAAGGAAGTTTATAATATTAATTTCTCGTATGTGTCTTCATATGGAGACACTGATTTATAGTTCTGCAGTGATTTTTCAAGCAGAATTGCCTCTCATATCAACATAGGAAGAAAAGAAAGACTGATTAGGCATGGCCGTAGGCTTTCTGCCCACTTCATCCAAAGCAGCTCTGTTTTTAAAAGGCTCTTACATATTGGTTTCCATTTAGAAAAAAATGTTCCACTGCTAAGGGGAGAAAATATTGTATTAATTCACATTCTACCTTTTACTCATTTCTTATGCCTAACTCAGTTCTTTATTTAGTGGATCAACTTCTGTTCTCCTAACCTTCCACTGCTCCATATTTGTGGTTTCTGTGGTCTCAGAATCCAGAGGCCAGAAACAAGCACATGTAATATTTATTATACCTAGAATTCATTTGTGACCCTTTATTACCAATTGAACAGCAAAGTATGATCATCGGAAAATTCCAGGGAAACCGCTAAACAGAAAGAAGTCATATGTTTTTAAAAGAGTAGACTTTTAATACACTATGAGCTAAAGTATTAAAATGTTCTCTTTCTTGGAAGTGAAACGATGTTGCTCCATGGCTATTTACTTCATATTTGAAAGCAAAACCTATTGAGAAAAAAGCCATTGCAATTGGCTAATTTCTCAAGCACCACTTTAAAAATATACAGTTTGCCCTTTAAGTTATAAAAACCAAGGCCAGCCAAAGAGAACTGACCACAGGCTGACATATCTGTAAAGGAAGCTGATCTCTCTTGGAAGCCAAAATAAACTGAAATTTCTTACTCTACAGTGCAGAGGCAGATCTTTGAAAGTTTGCCAAATTTATGTGGAAGATTATATTAACAAATTTTTATCTTCCCAAGTTGCCCTCTTTTTTACATTACAATTACCATAAGTAGTAAACATAAGAAGAAGCATTTCTAAAAACATCCATCAGACATAAAACATTTGATCTGCATTGCCTATTCAAAAAATTCATAAAGCTGTTTCAATAGAAGTCTAGAAGAAAAGTCAGCCTTTTGTTTGTTTATTTTTTTTACAGTTACTTCTTTTTCTCTCAGGCTCCCTTCTTGATGTGAAAAGCAACAAATTGACAAATAAACAAACAAAAAAGTAAAAAGCTGTAATTTTCCTTATGAAAGTATAAAGGAAAACTTAGTTGCCCCGGTTCTTTTTTGGAATAAAACAAAGAAGATATACAAAAATACATTTTGTGTGTGTGTGTTTTGTTTTTGTTTTGTGTTGACACAGCAAGATCATCAGGCAAAATGAAACTTGAGTAGCAAAATTTTATTTTTATTTTTATCTTTCCATTTTTAAAATGATATAAAATTAGAACCAAATTCTTAATCTGTCAGGAATTTTTATGTTTTATATGGGAGCCTTGAAGTAATTTGTTTTGCTCAGCTCACACAAATTTCTTTGAACATCTAGAGCAGTGCAAATGTTCCACTGTCAAATCAATACTGAAAAAAAATTATGTATGATGTAATTATGTATTATGTAATTTTTAAAATGGTGATACAATAAAAAAACCAACAGATAAATACAGAAAAAAACCTAGAGGGCCTAAACTCAAAGAAGAGTTATTAAGACAAACACATTAATATTTTAATTTTCATTACTTCTTTGTTATTTATTTCTCTGTTCACTTGGGCTGCTCTGTGTGCCCATCTGCAAAAGGGATAATTCTTATATAAGGCCTTTAGCACATTAAATTGAAGGATCACAATATAAAACACTGATTTCTGATCTACTTTATATACACTCCAAAATCACCTCACTAACTCACCTATACACCCCTGTGTTAATCAGGGTCCCAGTGAGAAACCCA